TGGCAGATCTTCCAAATGCGGCACAATTTCTGGACAGATACTATGTGATTTGTGTGACCCCTTCATCTCTTCTAAATTGTCTTTTAATGCCGGAAAGCTATCAAAAGCCCAAATGCGGACAGAACTGACCCAACCTTCTAACGTTATTTTGAAAACCTGAATGTTATAATTTACATGGATTATGGCCGCAGATTTTCCTTTGCAGTCATTTATTTTGTAATTATGTCGAACACATTGGCAAATGTTGCCAACCATTTTCTGCCCGCCACCCAGCACTGCAAATAGAAATGGGGATTCAGGAAGAAGGAGAAGACATCTGTTCGTAACTATGACAAAAGCAGTAATATTTTGCCACGAGAGCTGTAGCGCCCCAAAACATAAGTACTATCCTTTATGTACAATTTCATGCCCGACAGATTGTGCATTATGCCTTCTTGTTTTAAGCTCTCGTAACTTGCAAGTGTGTTGGCCTAAACCCAGCTCCACACTCGCTGCTCTGTTACTTGTCACGCTAAAGTGTGCTGCTGTCTCGCTTCACGCGTCCACGTCATTTTGTAGCCCATCGAACATAGTCCGCCGGGTCCGACTTCAACTGCCTTGCGTTATCCGCGCTCTATTACCTATACCGTCTCGGACTCACATTTACTAGTTCCGTGTATATATATATATATATATATATATATATATATATATATATATATATATATCCGTCGCAACGAGACTGGACCTTAACTTGGTGCGACGGTTTGCGTACCTCATTGACCCATTGAGCTATACTGGGTGATGCCTCCGAGCATCTTGAGAGCTACTCCTACCAGGTTGGTCAATGGTGAGAGGTCAGACAAACTCAGTCTCCTGGTCCTCCAGGTTGGGGGTTTGAAATGGGTTGGCGTCCATTTCTGTAAAACTAAATCACTGCCACCCCGCTGCCTTGCGGACAGGCTTTTGAGCCAAAGGCTTTGGATGAGGACCCTAATCGTCTCCTGTCTAGGTCTGGGCGCCCTGGCAGTATCTCAGCCCACATACAACCATGACATTTTCTTCAAACATAAACTTCATCCTGCATCGGCCGTCGCGCAGATTATCAAGGGTCGCCTTATCTGCTGCATACAGCAGGGCGGATAAGCGAAAAGCATGCTACTGCTGGCGCCTCCCTTCTTTCTTTTCCACCTTTTTCTCTTACTCCCATCCCGGCCCCCATTACTAACCTTCCTTCTATAATTCCCAGCTTAATTGACAGCAACCGAAGTGCTACTGGAGTAGAACCATCTGCAGCCACCATCCCACCGCACCTATCGGACGCCTATCGGCAAAAGTCCCTTATAAGGCCACGCTGTCCCGTTTCCATGGCGACATTCAACGTCCGCACTCTAAGACAAACAGGTCAGCAGGCTGCACTCGCACGCACCTTGGACACACTGGGTGTTGATGTGTGTTGTGTGTCCGAAACTAGGATTAATGACCCTAACGGGGTTATTGAATTACTGCACTCGGCTTATCCTCTCGTTATTGGTTGCACGCATCCGGAGACGCCGATGCGGCACTCACGGGTCAAGCTGGTGTAGGTATCATTCTCAGCTCCAAGGCTGAGCCATCGTTGATTGATTGGATTCCGGTGAACAGCCGTTTATGTGCAACCCGTTTGACAACATCAGCTAAGGTGAATTCGCGAAGTAGTTCAAAACGCTGTTTGTTTGTGATTTCCGTTTATGCTCCCACCGACTGCAATTCTAATGCAGTTAAGGACACTTTCTATCACGAACTGAACGCGCTAGTACGCAGTGCTGCTAGTTCAGATATTATAGTACTTGCAGGGGATATGAACGCACAAGCAGGGCGTCTGAGCTCTTCAGAAGCTCAGCTGGGTGGTAAGTATGGACTTAACTCTGAACGGACTGACAACGGTGAGCGTCTGCTGCAACTGTGTGCGGAGCACCAGTTGTTTCTTACTAGCACTGCTTTTAGACACAGTGGATGCCGAAGTGCCACTTGGCGTCCACCTGTAGCTGGGCAGCGATGGACCCAAAACTGATCACATTGTCATAAGTTACAGGTGGCGCGGTTCCATTCTGGATTGCCGCTCGTACTGGAGTACCTGTGTCGACTCTGATCATGCCTTGGTGCGCTGTCGTTTCTCCATGAACTTTACCGGAAGGCGCACAAAGCGTCTCCCTCGATTGGCAACGTAGAAGTTGTCCCAGCCCTCGGTCAGGCAAGCCTATCAAGAATCACTGCATACTGAACTCTCGCTGTCTTGTCCTAATGACACTGAACTTCAGTGGAATAGGATCTCGGCCGCTATGCGCGAGGCAGGAGCATCTGTTTGTGGCACTATCAGTTGTCACCGCACCAGTCACTGGATATCCGAGAGTTCGGTGAACCTGTTGAAAGCTAGAAGACACCTCCCGGCTGGTTCTGAACACAATGTGACCAGACGGGCTATTAGGCGTGAACTAAAGCAGAACCTGAGTGCTGACAAGGAAGCCTGATGGACCAGTAGGGCTTAAGAAATGGAGGAGGCAGGAGCAGTAGGCAATTACTGCAAGCTCTTCCAGCTTATCCGCACCACTGGTCCCAGGAAACCAGGCGTCAGTGAGACAATCAGCGACAGCGCGGGTGCGCTGATACACAATAAGGAGCGCCGTATGGCTCGTTGGGCTGAACACTTTGAAGATCAGTTCAGCTGGCTCCCTGCCCCCGGACCTCTTCCTACTCAGGTGATGCAGGACGTGCTATGGACGGTTAGTTTAGAGCCTCCGTCGGAGGCCGAGGTCCGAAACGCGATCACAGCCCTTACTCGTGCGGCTGGCCCGGATTCCCTCCCACCTGCACTATTTAAGGATAGAGGTGAGGTCCTTTGCAGGGCACTGACCTCCCTATTCGAACGTATCTGGAACGAAGAGAATGTGCCTGCTAATTGGAGCGAATCGATTATAATAGCGATATACAAGAAGGGCAGTCGAACAGACTGTGCGAAGCACAGTGGTAATAGCCTAACGCCAGTTGTGACAAAATTACTGGCCTCGATTATCGTTCGTCGCCTCACCGCTGAACGGGAATCTCGGATTAGGGAAGAGCAGGCCGGTTTTCGCCCAGGACGTGGATGTATAGACCATATATTTACTTCGCGGCAAGTGCTAGAGCAGCGCCACGCATACCGCAGACCGACAATAGCTGTGTTCCTCGATTTTGCCCGTCGGTTGGTGCGACAGATTTGCGGACAGGGAAGTGTTGCGCCGTAGTGGAATGCATGAAGTGCACTCTATATATTTTTGCTGAGACTCCTGTTGTGGCCCGGTCATGTGAGCTGCACGAACCCGACGCGGAAAACGAAACAACTATTATATGCTCAGCGGATTATTGGGAAGCGGCATATGGGGAAGCCGAAGCTTCTTTACCAGGACTTGATAAAATTGAGCCTCTCACCTTATACTCTTCATTGCTTGTCGTCGGAATCGAAGTCGCTTGATCGGTGTGCATGGCGCGATCTGATACCGAAGGCCGTTGCCCATGTGCAGGAGAAAGCTCTCATGCATGTAAAGAAGAAGGGGCGATTGCGGAAGAGGCAAACGCTGGTGGGTTGTACTCCATCGATATCGAACGCATGGTGCTGTAGCATATGCGGTTGCGATTGCCTGAATCAGGCAGTCCTAGTAAGCAATGAGCGAGACGACTCAGGGCCACCAGCGAAGCGACGACCGGTCCTGCAGAGAACGTAGGCAGAACCGGCGCAGCGTTTGTACGTACGCTGCATTCGATTTACTGAGCGCTTGCTTGCACGCTGAATCTCTTTATTTCAGGTTGCGGGTTTGCTGTGTTGTCTCGCTATTGCTTAACTATATTTTACTAATTTGTACACGTCCCTCAATCTACTTTAGTTAACTTTGATAACTTTTACGCGCTTGCTTCAAAACATTTACCGATTTCTTGAAATTATCTCTGGGTTGTTGGCAACCGATTTAGTTCATATGCTCATTTAACGCATATCTATGTCGGCATATCTGTAAACATTATTGGCTTTGGTTTATTTCATCTTGTCCTTTCAAGTGATTAGCTGTTGCTTGACATCCCAATTGTGGCTGCGCTTGATGTGCATGTTAACAAAGTGCCTACCTGTCTACTACCCACTACTTCCTCTATACTAGCTCCAGGAGCTAGTTGCTCGTTGCTGGAGGGGACGATATGCACGGTCCTTGTGGCCGTGTTAGGCTCGAAGTTTGGTTCCATGCACTCAGTGTGGAGCGGATCACGGTCTAGCCGCCGCCTTGTGTGCGCCTGATTCCCAAATACAGCGTGCTTGTGTTTGCCTGTGAAGGAGTGTGGGCCGGCTTCGTTGCTGAAACTTGGCTCCAATCCACATGCCCTCCGGTCTTATTCCTCCGGGTTTACACTGGATATGGAGTGTGTGAATGGAGCTGTGAGTGGTGCAGCACAAGCCACTCATGTTCCCTCTGTAGGCGCAGGCTTCCTGTGGCTGGCCACATTGCCAGGCAAATCTGAAACCGGATGCCACTAAACATGGTAGCGAAGGATCAGATCAAATGGCTGATGTACTGCTGTTGGTGATACCGACGATGATTATGATGCTGGTAAGCATGCTGATGGCGTTGATGATTATGAGTTTGATGAATGCCTGTTTGTTAGTGTTGTACATTGCAGGCAGACACTATACTAGTTGCGAAACGCTAGATAAACGATGCAGCATGTGAATAAAATCTAGGCTGAAGCACAACATTCTAATGTGCCCTATGAATTTCAGTGTTTCATGCAAACTACAGTAAACAACCCGTTCCGAGTGCAGGAATGTACTACCACAGGCTATCTAGCCGGAGTGTAAGTGCCTAATAATCCGGCCTATTCCCCCGCTGAGCTGCTATCATTGGTCGTCATAAAAAGTATTATTTTATGGTATTTTTATCCAGTATCTGGAAGACTTAAAATAGCGCAGAATAACAGAAGCCCAAGAAAGACGAATAGCCAGTGTTCTTTATTATCACTTTGTGCACAACTAATCGGGAGCATGATGAACAGTAAAGCCATTCATTATACCATCCACAGATCACGAGGTTCCAGATCCGCTCGGATACATGTCGGCAGCTAGGGGTTTACCTCGAATGGGTATCCAAGCGATTATTTTTACGCTGTATCAGAGAAAATTATCATCCATTACACTGGCGTGCAGAGCGAGTTCAGATTCAGTCACATCTTCTAGCCCACTCACCTTGCTGAGGATAGTACACAGATGGCGCCTAGCTTTTTGAGCCCGCAACGCTTCGTGTAATTTCAACAAGCTCATGTCCCCCTCAGTCTCGTCATCTGAGTTTGATGAAGCAGGTGACCTCATTGACGTTGAGCACTGTGCTCTGTGGCTAACGCGGACTCGTAACAATCGCTTGTCACGGCTGAACAGGAGTGCAAACATAGCTGCGGCTTTGGATTCGTTGAATGCGTCGGTTTCTGCTGTCTCTGCAGCCTTCCACCAAGGATGTTTCTTTTTTAACGCTACGTGACTACAAGAGCAGTCCAGACGCAGGATCGTTGGGCTGAGAGGATAGCTGGATGGATAAAATTCCTGTGAGAGACATTCACTGCGGGACGGATTGGCCATGGGGGACATGGACCACTAAAGGTGCTATCTCAATGTATTGAGTGATCACGTGACCGTTCAAACAAAAGGAATGGATAGTTGTTTGTTTGAACTAGATAGTAAGGTTAAAACCGAAGTTTTATTCTTTCTAGATAAACAAACCTAAAGCAAGATTCCTTGCTGAGCTCAATAGTTACTTTTGATTCATGACTGTGAAACGGGCGAAGAAAGGTCTATTCGTGTAACACTTTCTTTGGATAACATTGTAGTGCTATCGCTCACCAGGATACCTCTCTCATCGAATTATAGAGGATGCGGCGTTGGAATCCCACAACTTGTGGTTCAGCCAGAGCAACAAGCAACGGAGGTTTTACATCTATGGCGGAGAAATCGGAACGCTTCTTTATGTACTTCTGAAATAAATGAGAATATCTGTAGCTCGGGGTGTGGATGCGGATTTTGAGCAGTTCTCCGAGCTGGATAATTATTTTGCAGACGTTTCGTTGCCTGACTAGGCAACATCATCAGTGCGGCTTCAGGGGCCTGGTTCGAAGTGTCTCGTAAGCGACTTCAATGTCCAAGTGCTTATTGATCGAGTTCTCTTTTGAATGCCAGGCTTCAATGAATTCACGTGCTTGCCGGCTTTTAGCCCTTCCGAGGATACTGGCGTGCTCTAGGTCGAATTGATGGTTTTCAGCATCCATATGCACTGACATCAGGGAGTTCTGGTCGTGGCGGCGTATGGCTAGGCTGTGTTCGTGTAGCCTTGTGCCAAGCTTCCTCCCAGTCTGTCCCACGTAGTATTTGTCGCAGTTCCGGTAGCAGATCTTATAAATCACACCAGTTTCTTCTTCTTTGCTAAGTTTATCTTTTACTTTGAAGAGTTTACTGCGAATTGTTTCTGTTGGCTGGTGTGCAACTTTGACTCCAAAAGGCAATAAAAGCCTCGCTGCCATTTCAGAGATACCGCTGATATAGGGCAGTGTTGTTCTCTTTTCAGTTGTTGCATTCGTCGAGGTGTCTCGAGCAACCTTTCCTGGTGCGAGGCAGCGTAGAATGAAGCCTTTTGGGTACGAGTTCCGCTTGAACAGATTGAAGAGATGATCTTCCTCTGCCCGTCTCAGCTGCGGTGTGCTACAGTGGGTTTGTGCTCTTTTGAAAAGGGTTTGCACGCAGCTGCGTTTGTGGGCTGCCGGATGATTGCTGAGGTAGTTGAGGATCTGGTCCGTATGCGTCGGTTTTCGGTAGACTGTTGTTTCCAATCGTTCAGCACCAGTCCTTCGTATGAGAACGTCTAAGAATGGTAACTGCCCGTTTTTCTATTCCTCCCTGGTGAATTGGATGCCATCGAACACACCGTTAATTAGTTCGTGTGTTTCCTCCAATTTGGAACGTTTGAGGATGACGAAGGTGTCGTCTACGTATCGTACCCAAAGTTTTGGTCTCGCAATCGGGAGTGCTATTTGTTCCAGCGCCTGCATCACTGCCTCGGCTACTAGACCAGAGATCGGCGATCCCATTGATGTGCCTCTTATCTGTTCGTAAACTTGGCCATTGAAAGTGAAATGTGTTGTTAAACAGAATTCCAATAACTCCATCATCTGTTTGGGTTCGAGTCCACTGTTTGTATCAGACGACATGTGCTCCTCTAGCAGGCGCGTCATTGTTTGTTTCGCCAAACCAATATCGATGGAGGTGAACAAGGCGGTAACATCGAAAGAGACCATTATTTCGTCTTGTTCAATGGTTGCGGTCTTAAGTTTCTCAAGGAACTGTTCTGCCGAGTTGATTGAGTGTTCCGATCCCGCGATTAAGTGTTTCAGCCGTCTCCAGAGCTCCTTTGCAAGCCTGTAATTTGGTGCTCCAGGTAACGACACGATAGGGCGAAGCGGCACTCCGCTTTTGTGTACTTTAGGTAAGCCATAGAACCGCGGTAGTACCGAGTCTTGTGGTCGCATCCTCTTGTGTTCCAATTCTGTGATTTTCCCCATTTGTTCCAGTTTTTGCAGAGTGCGTCTGATGTTGCATTCTAAGCGTTTTGTCGGGTCTTCATTTATCGGCTGGTATGTGTTGGTATTACTGAGTAGGTGTTGTGCCTTCATCATGTAATCCGATTTGTCCATTATAACAGTAATGGACAAATCGGATTACATGATGAAGGCACAACACCTACTCAGTAATACCAACACATACCAGCCGATAAATGAAGACCCGACAAAACGCTTAGAATGCAACATCAGACGCACTCTGCAAAAACTGGAACAAATGGGGAAAATCACAGAATTGGAACACAAGAGGATGCGACCACAAGACTCGGTACTACCGCGGTTCTATGGCTTACCTAAAGTACACAAAAGCGGAGTGCCGCTTCGCCCTATCGTGTCGTTACCTGGAGCACCAAATTACAGGCTTGCAAAGGAGCTCTGGAGACGGCTGAAACACTTAATCGCGGGATCGGAACACTCAATCAACTCGGCAGAACAGTTCCTTGAGAAACTTAAGACCGCAACCATTGAACAAGACGAAATAATGGTCTCTTTCGATGTTACCGCCTTGTTCACCTCCATCGATATTGGTTTGGCGAAACAAACAATGACGCGCCTGCTAGAGGAGCACATGTCGTCTGATACAAACAGTGGACTCGAACCCAAACAGATGATGGAGTTATTGGAATTCTGTTTAACAACACATTTCACTTTCAATGGCCAAGTTTACGAACAGATAAGAGGCACATCAATGGGATCGCCGATCTCTGGTCTAGTAGCCGAGGCAGTGATGCAGGCGCTGGAACAAATAGCACTCCCGATTGCGAGACCAAAACTTTGGGTACGATACGTAGACGACACCTTCGTCATCCTCAAACGTTCCAAATTGGAGGAAACACACGAACTAATTAACGGTGTGTTCGATGGCATCCAATTCACCAGGGAGGAATAGAAAAACGGGCAGTTACCATTCTTAGACGTTCTCATACGAAGGACTGGTGCTGAACGATTGGAAACAACAGTCTACCGAAAACCGACGCATACGGACCAGATCCTCAACTACCTCAGCAATCATCCGGCAGCCCACAAACGCAGCTGCGTGCAAACCCTTTTCAAAAGAGCACAAACCCACTGTAGCACACCGCAGCTGAGACGGGCAGAGGAAGATCATCTCTTCAATCTGTTCAAGCGGAACTCGTACCCAAAAGGCTTCATTCTACGCTGCCTCGCACCAGGAAAGGTTGCTCGAAACACCTCGACGAATGCAACAACTGAAAAGAGAACAACACTGCCCTATATCAGCGGTATCTCTGAAATGGCAGCGAGGCTTTTATTGCCTTTTGGAGTCAAAGTTGCACACCAGCCAACAGAAACAATTCGCAGTAAACTCTTCAAAGTAAAAGATAAACTTAGCAAAGAAGAAGAAACTGGTGTGATTTATAAGATCTGCTACCGGAACTGCGACAAATACTACGTGGGACAGACTGGGAGGAAGCTTGGCACAAGGCTACACGAACACAGCCTAGCCATACGTCGCCACGACCAGAACTCCCTGATGTCAGTGCATATGGATGCTGAAAACCATCAATTCGACCTAGAGCACGCCAGTATCCTCGGAAGGGCTAAAAGCCGGCAAGCACGTGAATTCATTGAAGCCTGGCATTCAAAAGAGAACTCGATCAATAAGCACTTGGACATTGAAGTCGCTTACGAGACACTTCGAACCAGGCCCCTGAAGCCGCAATGATGATGTTGCCTAGTCAGGCAACGAAACGTCTGCAAAATAATTATCCAGCTCGGAGAACTGCTCAAAATCCGCATTATGTACTTCTGTTAAAGTCGCGGAAGCTTTGCACATCTCAAATCTTAAAGCACCTGAAGCAGCAAGCGTATTGACGAATTTACAGAAGCGTAACTTGATTGCTGCTTTACTTGACTCTCACGTAGGTCTAAAGGAACATAGCGACGCACCTTGGCCGAATCAAGTTGCAAAGGAGGTGTCATTATCCCATCAAAAAACGAATAACTGCCGACCTCCCATCGGTCGGCATTCTCCTACACTTGGTCCCTGCACCCCACCGTGGGTTCCTAGAGACCGAGAAACTGGCCTGCGTGTATACGAATGCTTAGGATCTTGTTAATATACTGGCCAAACTAAGTTCGCCAGGCTTCCGGGTCATATGATGTAATTGGTACCACCGAAAGGTTGTTACACACTGGAATAACGGGCGCTGAAGTTTCGCTACCGATGTGTCGCTGATCCGGAACGGCAGGCTCACAAAAGCAGGAGGGGTAACCCTGTATTACCGAAGCGAGTTGCAGTGCGAAGCCGTGGAGAATCCAGACTCGCAGTTCCCCGACTCTCTTTGGTGCCGCTTGCAGTTCAAAGGCAGGGACGCTTGCCTTATTCTATTGGTGTACCGCCCCCCTAAGTCAACACCCGAAACCGACGGAAGCTTAGCGACTGCTTTAAGATACAGTTTACAGCGAAATACACTCACATTCTTCTCATGGGTGACTTCAACGTACATTGTGCAGAAACTTCTGCCATGAGAGGCTAACAAATCAGGGCCGATCTACAAGATCGCTTAAGCACTGTTCCTGTTTACCATCACACCACTTTGCGCACTCGGTTCAGAACGGGTAACAGGTCGTCCGTGCTGCATCTTGTGCTTACCAACGAGAAGCATATGACTGATGTGTTAAATAAATAAATAAATAAATGTTATATTCCTCGGTGTTTCGAGGTGCAGTCCAACTGTGTTGGTTTTAGACTGCCCGTTGGGTCGCAATGATCACGCAGTCATCAGTTTCAACTTCATCTGCTATGCGGTATAGCCTAATGAGAACGATGAGTCTGTGCGAACTATCACAAGCTAGGCTTGTTTAGCCCAGCTCGTCAGCGCCACAACTTGGTCGTTCCTTGACAAAGAATCCCCGGAAGTAGCCTGGCTCGAGTTCGTAAAAAAATTCGGTCAGCTGATTGCAGAGGCTTCAGAAATAAGTGCACAACTGTTACTTTCATTAGGAGCAGCAGTCGAAACT